GCGACTGATTAAAGCTTCCGACCCTTAGACCAACAATTTTCTGATTTCTTTGGCACCGACAAAAACACAAACTTATTTAGTGTGCCTCGTTGACTGGAGGACAGATTGATGAGCAACATGTGCTCCATCTTCACAGAGAAGACGTATTATTTAGACTCGGTTGTCAAATTGACGACAAGTGCTGCAAAGTGAAATGAGATTACAATGATGTCAAAGTTTCGATGGCCCATTAAAGCGAAACTTCAACTCACGAGTGTGCGACTGGGCTTGTACGCTCTGCGTTCGAGTAGTGAAGCCCCACGAGTAGTTAGATACATATGCTCAAATTTCAACAATAGTATAATTGAATTTGAAGTCAAGCTTAAATTAGTACTTGATATACATTAAATCACAGCTTACAATAACAAAAATCTATTTACTGCATAGCGTGCGGCTAGCATCACAGGTGTCCAACAGACCTCTCGAGCCTCAGCATCTTCAACAATAAAAGTACAGATCGTGATACTTCATATGGTAATTTAGTTGGATGCTATTAATCCTGGCTACATTCGAGCGATAAAAGTGACAATAGCATAATGTGGAGTTTACAACCTTTATGCGTACCTACCCTGTCATACCCTCCGCTATCAAACAAAACCACACCGGCACCCCAAATATTTTGTATGATTATGAGATTGCGCAAAATAAGCGCTCAACATGCATTAATTTCTTATTTCAATTTCAACTCTTCATGCGAGCACAGCACGCATCGGGTGTTCTTTAAAACACGCTTTACAAAGCTCAGCGAGTCATTCAATAAGGCGCAGTCCTTGCTACCGATGGACTGTATGTCATACATGTTGTGATAAGATAATTGATGTGATTATCATAGTTACAGTCTTAGCCTCGAGTCGGCATCTTCTTCCTCGACAATATACATACGGCAAAGCCACTTCCCATCTGGGTGAACTGTTTTGAGAACGCGGCGCTCTCTGCACTTCTCCTCAAATTTGCACGACTTGCGCAAACCGTGCCTGTTTCTTGCAGCAGTAAGTGTTACAACACCCCGCCACAGAGTTCCCTATAGTGCGAGCTCGATACGTAAGAGTTGTCGGCTCTGCGAGCATAACTAAACTGTTTGCAAACGCAAGAGTCGCTGCAACAACCGAAAGCTATATCGCGCCAATATTGTGGGTTTTATCCCTTAGTATTTGCTCTCCGCGCGGCTTTGGAGCCATTATACACCTTTGCGTGTGGTTTTAGGACGAAATGAGAATGGGCAAGCGCCTTTCAGAAGGCTTTCGCGCCGCAGGTCACCATGTCTGTAATGGGGGAACAGGGAATTCGTATCGTATTGTGCTCAATACAGCATAACGCTATTCCTATCGTCCCATGGCCATAAAATCAAGCCCAGAGAATGCGTTGTAGCCTGCAACGATGAGGTATCATAATAAATTCTGGTAAGGAGATTGTGATAAGACTTCGTAAGAGCTAGGTGTGTAAACTACGTGGGGCTCTATCGAACGCTATGAGATATAAAAATGTTTCTATTGTCGATTGTAGTACAGACATAGTTGTTTCAAAATTAGTCTCGGTGTCATTCCAAGTTTATACCACTTTAACATCAACGCAAAGAAGTACTTGGGTATGTGAACGGCGCTGGAACACGCTTCTGGGGTGGAGCGCATTCACCATAATCGGTGTATTTACATACGCAAATGCATGAGGTGAAGCATTCTTTGCGCAAAATGCACAGCGCACCCGCTGTATGTGATAAAATTTTCTGCATATATATATCTTGATTTATGCAAAAGCTCGCACTTCGTAGCTTAGACAGTGCGAGTAGTGGCAGATTGCGGGGCACTATCTGCAAAACCTTCCAAAGGATCTTCTGCCGCCGACTACCCTGTATATGAACAATTTTCTACACGACACGACCCGAAGGTTGTTAATTGACAAATCGGTATCTCATGAATATCTTGATAGTGCTGATACAGACGAAAGTTTGCTATTGATTTCTCTACATCTTCAGATCTACAAGCATAGGTTTAAGATCAGGGGTCAAAACTTAGCCAGAGTATTCACGTTTTTTCTTACAAAGCCAGCAGCGAGTATAGAGCTAGTCCACATTGCGCCTTTGAGAATTAAGGGGAAAGGAATATGTCTGGAAACAGGGACGTCATGCGTATTGAGCCTAGAAAGCTATAGCTCAAACAGTCTGCGCCAACGAGACACAGAAGATGGATTTGTACGCTCCATTCAAAGGCGGCGGTGCAGATTTTTCAAATTCTTTCGTATTTTTTCGCGGTGATACGATAAACGAAAACTTTAAACGACGAAGCTACGTGAGTTAGCAAGACTATGGTTTTACACAAGTAACTGTATGAAAAATTGTAAGCTGATAACACACGTGTCTTTCTTTCAAAACTTTATCGTACTCATCTGTGTCACGGAGTCGGGATCTTTGAGCAATGCAGAAGTTTAATGTGCAGTTGCCATATTATGACACGTACCCGGTTACACGTTTCCTTACTTTGATTTCGCAATTTTTTTGATGCACCGAAGTGAACATTCAACGGGCACCCTATGCATTTGGAGTATAACCCACCACATTCACCACAACGTGCCATCATAGCGAACGTCATTCGCATGGCTGATACTCGCCCATATGTTTCCATTGTCAATCGTTTTTAAAGAAAGGCGCTAATTCTGCGTCCGGCAATCGTAAAGCTGTTTATGCTGAAAATACCGAGGTTTCCCAAATACAATCGGTCATTACGACTCTCCGAGCCCCCACCCAACACCTTCACTCACTTTAAGTGCCATAAAGCAGAGTTATCTACTATTCATAGGCGTCTTTTCACTTCTTCGGGAATTACGCACTGCATATTCGCTTGCCCTGCAGCAAAACTTACGCCAATTTCTAGCTCGTTAACGAGCAAGCTTGCCAGTTTTGAGCGCAGAATTCGCGGTATTCTGTGCAGACTCAATCAAGTTTTGATTACAAAGCCAATTCATCAGTACCTACTCGTTGCATCTTAGTACGCCCGTGCGTGCGGGCGTAAATTAGCAGCGACCGGGTGATTCTGTATCTTTTGTGTAGTGAATTCTGATAAAGTTTGTGACAAAAATATATCTCAAACGCGCATTGAGAGAGAGAAAAATATCGCTTTACCGGCGTTTCAAATTTGCGACAAGATTCAGGGTATCGGGGTGCTCAGCTATAGCTTTGTCTCTGTATTACTTTGCAGAGAAAATCAGACGACGTAGGCGTCGAGGCAGAATTTTATCACTGGCTGTTATCAGCTCTGTTCATCTCTCTGAGGCTATTGTTTCAGCGAGTGGTCAAGATTCGAACGAGAAGCAAGGCCGTACCTCGAGAAATGCATTGAGTTTGACTTCTCGGAGCGGATACATTCCTTCCACTTTGCCAGGTGTTGTTTACAGTCATGGAGGTCCTGCCACTTAATTATCCACTCTACATCAAAATGAGCCATTTTCTTAATAGACAAGCGCGCTGGTCAAAGGTGACCCCCTCGCAGTCCACTGTCGTGATCTCTCTCGGAAATGGCAAGCGATCGCTTCTTTCACTAGGTTTTGGCGTGTGGCCGGGATGTTCCTCCGTTGTCAGCGAAGCGCTCCACATTCGAATGGCTCGCAAGAGGTTGATTGTGGTATGACTTCAACAAGCCTCGATAAAATGGATGTGGTGCCGTCTTTTTGGTATAGTGAGCAAGCAGTTACTTTCTGGTTATTGCAAACAAATCGTTGTTTAGACCAGTCGTATAGACTACAGACATTGCATTTGTAAGTAGGCAGGATTATCTCATTCAGAAATCTTTTGTCGGAAGTACTTACTTATATGTGCTCTGGATGTCTCTGGTATTTACTTGCTGCTTGTGCACATCGTAGCTCAAGCCAGAACATTTAGATATAAGAAACATGTTTAGTACGAAGTGCGGCTGGGCTACTATCATCAAGGCGAATTGAATTGATAATCCGTCTTTCAACGAAACCAAATCCGCGTTTTGGTGGCGTCAGAGAAGTACGAGATTGACGCACCCATTGTATACTAAATAACTTCATAAACAGCATTAGTCAGCCAAAGTCAACAAATGTAAGCATTCGCTTTAGCAACGCGGTCTCTCCGCGCATGTTTTTCGGGGAAGGGGTCGTTCACTACGTCATACCATCTTCATATGGGTGAACAGCTGTGAACATATACAATCTGAACCCAGCTGCTCAATGAAATATTACTGTAAAGTGCGGATCACATTTCGAAGCAATGTACGCTAGCGAAAAAGTTATTCGATGAATAGTTTTTTTGTATCCCCAATGGTAACGATATCGCTGACAGTAGCAGGCTTGCTCGGACAGTAGAACAACTGTAGCACCGGACTCGTCGTTTGGAAGAATGAAGGTAAATGGCTGCCGACGCTCGGCCTGATCGGTAGGGTAGCGATTAAAGCCGATGCATGCAACGAGAAATCAACTCGTTGATTGGTTTCGCACGTGCTCATGTAAGTTGACCCACTTACAGAGTTAGACCTTCAGTACATAGCGATGCCTTTAGAATTTTGTGTATCTCGCACAATGTCCTGTGTTATAAAACTCAGAATCATGTGCAATAACATAATTGTTGTTGAGTGGGTTGGTGATGCAACTAAACAAGCCTTTATAGCAAGATATTACGGCACAGCGCACAAGTCGGTGAAACGATATCCAAACTCGAAAAGTAGTTTACGTGTGCGTCATACCGATCGCTGCACATATTACCTTGTCGATGCACGATGTCACTTTCGTAATGCGCAGCGATTCTTGGTTTAGATAATGTAAGCGAATCTGCCACCACATTGAACCGACTCGGCTGAATCTCTCACAAGAGCAAAGTACTGAGCGAGTAGCTTGTTGTTTCAGCAGAATACTTCACCTATATTGCTATGAGCTGGTGCTTCTCCATCGCGTTGGCACGTTCAAGCCCATTTTCAAGCGCATAGAGTATGGCATACTTCAAACAAACATCAAAGCCATGTAGACGGCATAAAACGGCCGATCTGGAATGGAAAGACAAGATCGAGCCACAATCGAGGCTTTCTCTCAAAGGTCAACCTCGTCTGCTGCTTCCCAACTCCACTTGATATCAATTTCGTGGCCTTATAGAGACTCGCACCAATAATTGCAATATACTTGCGCAAGAAATCGACGGGACAGCTGACATGTACACTAGACAAGTCCACACTCGCCTTGATCTCCACAGGTTGTGACCAAAGATCATGCTCTCTAATAAATTCTGTCGGGAGGGAGATACGTTGGCACCTAAACACATACGTATGTATGTAACTAACAATCTTGTTTACGCGCATATACTCGCGTACTGCTTGCGAGATTTATCACGTTCAGTTCCCCGTGCTCAAAATGGCTATGGGCAGATTTTTTTCGTCAAAACAGTTCTGCGGATAGGCGACCCGCTCAGGATACTTCCCGCAGTGAGATGGACATCTCTATTTCGCGTGAGTATCGGATAAGAGTTACTTATCGATTAAGATCACTCAATAAGCTACAACCAACCGTGATTTCAAGTTGCAAATCGTTTCGAGGAATCAGCGATTGCACTGGAATAGCGACTGCATAGAGCTCCTAAGCTCTTAATTTGTCACTTTCCATGTAGACGCAAAGAGGAGAAATCACTATATCTGATCGATTCCGCTTTGTGCTTCCTTCGCACTTTAAAAGCGTCCATGACACCGCGTTTCATTTCAAAATAACAATTCACATGTGACGTAATATTTGGTCGCAGGAACAAAGTCAATTTTATTGAGAACTTCCCAATCCAAGACATGGGTCATTTTCTTAGCGATTTTGCGAAACCCCCTAAAACAACTTTTCAGAAGTAGATATAAACAATTTTCGCCACTAGCTCTTAAATGTTCAACGATCCACTCGATAGGCGCGTCACAGGTCACAGATTTGTGCTGACTCAGCAGTACCATACCATAAACAATTTTAAACAACTTCAATACCTTGCCCTCCTCCTAATCACTTGCAATCTTCCATCGTCACCGCCCCTGTCCCTAGTACTGGCATTAGAGATGGCGAAATACATTCGCTTCTTCTCTGCGCTGAAGTCGCTGATACAAGAGACCGCGACATGTAATCACTCATAGTTCATCCACCGGCTCTTGAACACAAACTTCATCCAACATCTGCGATTGAACATCCCATCAGAAAACTATACTGAAGTCATGACTAATCTGTCTTTCAGCAGAGAATCACTTTGGAGACCACGATATACGATGGTTTCTGTCGCATCGTGATTATTGCTGCTGCTGCCGCCTGAACCTTGCTCGTCGCTGCTTGTCAGATCGAACGTTATGCTCCGTGTATATCGCCGCTACATGCCAACGCCAAAAGCGCTTCTGCTTTCTAGCAGAAGTGAGTACATGACCCACTAAGGTCCAAAGAAGTTAGGGGTAGATTACCTATTTTTTCTGGCTGTGAGTCGATCCATGGCTCATGGCGTTTAGACCATATCTAGGCTACTGTCATTCCTTGAATCCAGGTTTAAAATGAGACAACGTACCACGCTATCAAGTTCTCAAACTCCACAGAACGATTTGGACGAACATTCTACGCACTATCAACAATTGATCACAACTTTCCACGGCAGCATAGTAGACATTGACAGACAACAAGCCTGATTTGTGAGTTCCGCCTTCATTAATAGGAGAAATTTACTTTAGACCAGGGTCGCCATTGACATCGACATCTTCGAGGTACAATAGAACCGACTTCATCAAACGTTAGATCGGCGCTTACTGGAGGCAACGTATTCCTACTGGCGTTTGTGGAAAGAATTCGCGCTCAAGCACGACCTTACGTACCTCTCAGTCGAGAGAGAAGATAGGACGCAGATGATTGGATCTCCCACATATATAATATCTGCGAGTTCCACGGTAGCTAAGAATCCTTCCATTTCCTCAGCATGTCCAAAATAATTGTCTACGGTGTGCGCTAAAAGATCCTAGTTTCAGTACCACATCCCGCTATCGCATTTAACGCAAGACCCCCCGCTTCATGAAAGATGTAAAGTGGGCGTAGAAGGTCTTAGTGCAAGCTGCATCTATTCCGCCACACATCATGAAATCGGCAACTTTAACGCCTTCAAAAGGAAGCATGCAGCCATTACATTGACAAGGGTTCTTGCTTGTTGGACAAAATTCGGTCGACAGTTTCTTTGAACGCATTCGATATCATGGGAAGGAAAATTTGTTACCCGCAACATCTGTCGCCTCATCAGTCTTATGCTGAACGAAGCCTATTTGATCGAGGTACTGCACGTTAGTGCCCACGGTTTCTTAGCTTGGAAACAGCAAGCATAATGCGCGGTTACCGACTTCATGGCCATCTCAAAATAGTCAAGATGTGAGATTTTCTCGTCCGATCCTCATTGGTCGCTCACGTCAGTGACTTTATGATGAGCGCCACCCGTCCTCCCATTGGCGCCCGGTGAAAGCGCTTCTAGAGGTGTCTGGTTAGCGCATCCACATATCTCGAGAAAACCTCCAGGAAAGCGACCATCACACCCGGCTCTTTGGCCGCCACCTCTCTGCTTCCGCAAAGACCACCGAACTATCGAGCTTATTAAGCTGGTCTTATTGGTTTGGGGCCAGGAATTCGAGCATTTCATGTTCTATCCTAGTAGAGATTACCGTCTATTAAGACAGGGTCGTCTGATTGATGGCAGTTCTACCTAGTGCAATGTGTTTGCCGTGTACCTTGCACAGACAGATTTGACACAATATGTCCAAGTTTAGATCACGCAGAGAATGCGTTTGTACGCTTCACCCAGGAGCAAAACTGTGAGCTTCTAATGTAGCTAAGATCTTATTTGTTCTAATTTAGTAGTAACATACTAAAACTGAGTCTTATTTAATCAGATATTGAATATGTTTGCTTAATCCATACTATTTACGTGCCGCATGACGTGATGCTAGCAGCCAACGTGTCCACTGACCTCTCCGTCACATTGTTTTCAAAAATGTAAGTCTTAAGGTTCGGCGCAATTGCATAAAAGTGTAATGTGTACGCACACCAGAATACGGTATGTGCTTCGTTACATTTTCTAACCTAAATTTTCAAGTCAGCGTAAAATTGATTTCCAGGAATCAGTTGTGACGTGGTCACCAAAATAATCATTGTACAGAATAGTCAATCTTCCCGCTTCTTACAATATATGGCTTCCTTACTATGCTAAAAATGCTTCTATAGACCGTTCTTCAATGCCAAGACTTTCTGCAGTTGACTATAGATGTACTTAATGATTGGCAGGCTACTTGAAATATTACCCATGATTTTCTCCCTCAGAAATCTGATTAGGAAATATGCCTCATCAGAAAATGTGCAGAAAACATTTCAGTGCCAATAATGAACAGCCGTCTGGAACTCTACATGCGATTAGATTGATGCCTATGTTTTTCAATATTACGATTATTCAAACCTTCATGTTCCTGATCTATTCCGCCCTGCTTGGTAAAATACAGTAGAGAGACAAAATTTCGCTCTTCACGATAAATAAATATATATCACTTCTACAAACCATTAGCTGCAAGTCTTTATAGAGCTAATTAAAATGCTACTATACATTCCTCTTTGCACAATCGACAACAGATATAATCAGAGTATCATCCTATGGAGGTATGCATTTCCAGCATTTAGCTAGATAGTATTCAATTACGAGAAAGTGGTATCGTCGCCAGCAATTCTGCGTAATTCTGCTTTGTACATTTCTGCCTCGATACCTCCATACGTACTCTGTGAGGTGATGCGCGGTATATTTCAATAAATACGTATCCCAGGAATCATTAGAAAGCCGGATGACCAAGCAGCATCTGCAAAAGAACGGGGTAAGGTTGAAGCTTCAGAAAAGTACTTGAAGCTGAAATAAAACATACATGATACGCACGAGAACAGACACGAAGGGGCATATATGCGGAGAGCATCAGCTTGCTGTCTGATCAACAGCCTGCGTCGACCTGATCATGGGGTAGCACGAAAATCACAGACGACTCGTTTATACCAATTGAAGCTGATATTCGCCTGTAGATGTACGAGAATCTGACGAGGTGTCTTACAAATTCAAGTGTGTGGTTCACAGAATCTCAAAACATCAAATAAAAAGCGTATTAGATTCTCGGAGGTATAAATATGGTACTTTGACCGGCATAAACGAGGATAAAGTCAGACATCTAGTTAGTATTTGAACTTTGCTTTGTAGCCCTTCTGCGATTTGGAAGCCTATGACCATCCATATGGTGTTTCGATTAGACTGTACACATGACCAGCGAAGAACACAATAAAAAGATTAAGTTGACCAAATGCGCCAGTCAATCAAGCGAGAATTTCGTCGCAGTCACCAATAAATTTGCTTTGGCTGGTGCTGATCGCACCCACAATCACTTCACTTTCAATTTAGACTCGTTCGACCAACAAGGTTTCAACTCAATTTTCAACTAATCAAGCAGGTCCTCCAAGATGCCAGAAAGCACTCCGCATAAATATGCTGAAGCTGATTCACCTAAGCTTGCGACTGCATTCGACGAAGCCAACAAGGCTGCTGCTCGACTTATCAAGCCAAAAGCTATTCTATACACCACTGCTTTGTTATCATGGATGCAGCCATTTCAAAGCGGTTGGTCTACCTCGCAAATGAATTTGTCGCAATACAACGACACGGATGAGTGCAATGCACGACCTGTAGCTGAAGGCACGTGTCTCATGTTTCCTGGCCATACGAAACTCCAATGGACATTTGCCGTGAATGCATGGATCTTTGGTGCTATGGTAGGCTCACTATGTTGTGGCCAAGTCAGTGACCGACTTGGTCGTAAAAAAACGTTGATGGCAAACTGCATCTTCATGATCATTGGCGGTGTGGTTCAAACAGTATCGTCGGACATTTGGCTGTTCGCATTGGGTCGTTTTGCTGCCGGTATTGCATCGGGTACAGCCACTGCAACGATTGGTGGATACATGAATGAGCTCACACCGCCTCACATGCGTAACACGCTTGGTCTAGGCCTTCAAATTTTCACGACTATCGGAATTTTAGTACCCGCTATCTGCTTTTTCTTCCTTAACACAAGCACTGGTTGGCGTTACCTTGCAGCATTCCCTGTTGTGCTAGCTGGTGCCTACCTATTGCTGGCACCGACCTTGTGCATTGAAAGCCCAGCATGGCTTTTAACGCAGGGTCGTAAACAGGAGGCTAAAGAAGTTATTGCTCGGTTGTATGGCGAGGAACATGTGCAATTGGCTCTTACATGGCTCGAAGTGGGCACAAAGCCGGAACATGCTGAAGAAGGTCTCTCTGCTTCCAGAAAAGAATCCATGTTTGCTCCTCGGTATCGCATGCAGCTCCTCACCGGTCTTTTACTGTCATGTTCTCAGCAATTGTCTGGTATCAATGCCGTGTTTTACTACTCCGGTAGTATTTTTTCGGATGCTGGTATTTCTGACTCGCGTGTCGGCACTCTGGTCATTGACTTCATCAACATTTGGCCTGCCTTCTTTACGGGTGTTCTAGCGAACCGTTTTGGTGCTCGCAACATGATCCTTTGGGGTCTTGCAGGCATGGTGATCATGTCGGTCGGTATGACTTTGGCTTTCGTGGTAGATGTGTCTGCATTGTCCATCGTGTTTACCGCTCTGTATGTGATTGTGTTCGGAGTAACACTTGGTCCTCTTGTGTGGGTAATGACAGCTGACATTTTCCCCGACTCAATTCGTGCTAGTGCGTCATCATTCTGCATCGGAATCAATTGGCTGTGTAACCTGGTTGTGGGTATTTCGTACCCTTACGTTTCAGAAGCGTTAGGAGACTACGCTTACGCTCCATTTGTGGTGCTACTTGCGACGTTCTTCCTTTTGGGATTGAAAATGGTGCCAGAGACGTCGGGTAAGTCGGCTGAGGAGATTCAGGCTGAATATGACTCTCGTCGCGAGAAATAGTTGCTCAATAAATTTATATAGTTTTATGAAGATGTTGGCTACTAACATGCTTCTGTAACAAGGTAGAAAAGTACTCACTCTATCAAAGTATTCGAAAGGTTGTCTATATTATTACTCGAAACAAAATAAAGAACGCAAGATTTGAATGAGGCCGACATCCTAATTTAATCACGAAATGGGTAGTACTTTGCAATTGAGACTCTCATTTTCAAGATGATATGTAATTTACTACTTTCGACTGTAAATCCCTGTATAGCGCCGCCCGATATAAATATATGATTAATTAATTAACGTGGACTAGCTCTCTGTGTGCAAGGTGCACGGCAACTCAACCCCGCGCATCGAGTACGTTGTTGTAAAATGCAGTCATAGAAACAAAAGTGCGTTTTCTGGAGCTGCTTAATCTGATTGACCGTATCCAAAGGCTATGCGCGCATTAGTCGGAGTGCGTATGCCTAATCCATGTATTCAAACGCCTGATTTGAAGTCGGATGAGCGCATTCGTCAGGACTCTTACTTAGATATCGCGGGTCGATGATTATGGTGAACACAGTCATTTTGTCGAGCAGCGCGGCAACCCAATTTTCATGAGCCAGACCGTCGGCTTTCGAGCTAAAGTCTAAGGGCACGCCGCAGCTAATGTCAGGACGTTCAGAAAGTCTGCTAGCGGTGCAGCCCCGAGCACATCACCTAGCACTACTGCGCTTTACTTACTTGCCGCAAGGAGTCGTCTGATACATATGATGTCTTGAGAATTCTGAACTTATACAAGGGGAACACTTTGCAGAGTTTACTTGAACTCTTACTGTCGCCAAGCGATCTCTAAAAGACTAACTCTTCTCTGAACGCTCTACATCACCCCTTTTTAATAACTCAGTGTCGATAATGATTTGGCACTCGTTTCATACGGTGCGCACTTGCCAGCACAGCGCTTGTCGCTCGCTGAGGGTCGCACCATCTTTAGTGCTAACAGCCAGCAGCCAGAAAGGTGCAGCTTCAAATTTTAGTTTAGCCTGGACGCCCTCCCATCCGTCCATAATATCTTGTAGCTCACTGCTAAGGAAGGGTGAGAAGGTAAGGATAAAGTACAAAGCTTTCTTAGATCAATTTGGATCAGAAGACGCTCGGCTAGTGGCTGTCAATTAACACATGAATAATTAGTTTTCTTTTAACTAAAAATCTCTTTTGGTAACTGCTTTCTTCACGCTTCATCAAGGAAATCATGACTGATGTTTATATATTTTCAAGAAGTGGCTTGCTATCACTGGCACTCCCAGCAACATATTTTTATCTGCCATTATTACTCCTGCATTCAGGTATCAGTACCAACTTTTGTGGCATCACTCGTTCTTTGCTACGCTTTGAAGTATTGGGGCAAAAGTTATTGCTACAACTTGTTGGCAAATTACTTAAATAGTAAGCTTGATGCTTACAATGTTTATTTGTGAGCCCACTGACAATGCAAAACATTATTGCAGCGTTTCAAGCAGCATACACTGCACCTCGTTGTATAAATTTGAG